TTTTTTTTTTTTTTTTTTTTTTGGTAGAAAGGTAAAATGTATCTGCATGCTGTAAAATTGTACTTCGTACACCCAAAGCTCTCAAATTCCTTCTCTTTTCTGTATTTATATGATAACTTATTGTGCATATGTTGAGTCCAAATTTCATGAATTTTGCAAATCCTTTCTGAAGAGTCTTAATATGCTTGGCTTGTTTTGGTTGCTTCACAATGTGCATAGGTAAACAAACCTGATCTCCCTCTTGCATCGGGGGACTTCTCTATGGCAACTGGAATAAATATTATCTTCGTAGCTTCTTTAGTGGTAAGCACTATGCAATTCACAAATCACAGCCCTTAAGATGTGGTCAATTAAGGTTCATAAGCTTATATTGATTCCATTTTTCAGAGTATGGCAATGGGGATTTTGTTTGAATCACCGCCACTCTTTTTCGCCCTCACCATAAGTATGTTTCTCGGTACTGCTTACTCAGTTGAAGTAAGTTCTCCTAAAACTATCTATTCCAACATTCTTTATCTTTCTGGATGAAAATGAGAATTAACTAGTGTACTACTTGGTGACAAGTCATTTGAGAAGATAACTAAAATGTCTACTTTGAGTGGTTTTGTAATTGAACCAAGAAAATGTTTCATTTTGTTCCAGTAGTGAGTACAAGTTCTTGGCTATTTTGTTCCTTCGCTTTCTAGTGTGCTGGTGATTTTGACATTTATCATCTGTTCTGTTTCTTATAGCACCCCTTGCTAAGATGGAAGAGACACCCAGTTTTAGCAGCAAGTGCCATCATGATAGTGAGGGCACTTGTTGTTCAGCTTGCTTTCTTTATACACATGCAGGTATTTATTCAAAATTCTTAATTGTTTAGCTAACTTGCAATTATTAAACATCAGAATTATTTTTCTTTCTTTTTCTTTCAATCTACTAATTGCCATATACAAACAGAAATATGTGCTTGGCAGACCAATAGCAGTGAAAAAACCATTGGTATTTGCAACAGCTTTCATGTGCTTCTTCTCTGTTGTCATTGCACTGTTCAAGGTAATGATTTGAGTATCTGTTGGAGTTTTCAATCACTACTTTAGATCCTTGAGTGTATCATATAATGGATGGTTATAAACACATTTCATTTGTCCTCTAACAGGACATTCCTGATGTGGATGGCGACAAGGATTTTGGCATCCAGTCTCTCAGCGTCAAACTAGGGCGAGAAAATGTACTCTCACTGGGAATATAGTAGTTTATATCACATTATCTCCATCGTTTATGTTTGTTACATTGCTGTTGTAGCAGATTCTTCAGAGGAGTTCAATTCTGTCTAACCAGATTTTTTGTTTTAATGGCAAGGTTTTCTGGCTTTGTGTTAAAATGTTGTTAATGGCATACACATCTGCTGTGTTGGTAGGAGCTCTATCGTCATCTTTGCCGAGCAGATTCATCACGGTATGTATCGAATAACTTCATCAACCATCAATTCCGAACCTTTTGGCATCAAAGCTGTCATTGATTTGGAGGTTTTTTTTTACTGCAGATATTTGGCCACGCGATGCTTGCTTGGTCGCTGATGTACCGAGTTCCATCAGTTGACCTCACCAGCAAAGCATCAATAACTTCATTTTACATGTTCATATGGAAGGCAAGTCATTAGAACTCTATCTCTATTTCTTTCCCTTCCAAATTCTTTTCAAATTCCTAACTTCCTGTTTTATTACCACTGCAGCTATTCTATGCCGAATATTTCCTTATTCCATTTGTTCGCTGAGAAGAATTGAAAACTCAAAGCGCTTTTAACAGATACTAATTGGCAGCATGTCGTGAACTTCTCTCTGTTTTCAGTTGAACATTTGTTTTTGTATTCTGCTATCTAAATGGATTTGCATCACTAAATGTCTAGGTAATCTCTTTTTAGTGGTTAAACGAAAAATGATTTAAAAATAATCTTTTTTATTATCTTTAGGATAATTTTATATATCATTTAAATAATTAAAATTTTTATTTATTTGTAATTTATAATGTTAATCATATTTACTTATTTAATTATATTAAAAAATTATATGAAAAATTATCACTATATTATTAATTATGGTTAAATATATATAATGCAATACATTTACCGTTTTGAAATTTTTTTATCAAAATATGAAAGACGTGAAAGAATAAAATAGGAAAATCGTTTGTCCTATTCCTTCCTGTTTACTTTCCTTCCCTTTCCTTTTTTTCCTCAATTTTTATTTAAATAGACCCTTAAAATCGTTGATTAAATATAAATATATTTTAATTCATATCATATTTTTGTTGCATCTTTTAGCCCCGCTGTGTAACGTTTAAAAACAAGTGCTCTCTCTTGGCCTCTCCGTTTACCCCTTCTGCTAAAGGCTGGGAAAGTCACACATTAAAAGGGCTTAATTTAGATATAACAAATTCAAATAATCAATAACCGAATGTATTGCATAATTATCGGTTATTGATACCTTCCGCGATTTTGGTTAAGAAATTCTTTCCCTTTATCATGTGCTGTTGTACTTGTATTAGACAGTAACAAAATATATTCACCTTTCTCTCTTTTAAAATCGGTTACGATACTCCCTCAATTTTATAAATTATCATAGCAAGCCGAGCTGTTTTGTCGTTGGTGGCTTCCTCAAATATCCTTCGAATATTGAAAAGTGAAAACCGAACACGCCCTCAAACTTTTGTTTTTTTAATTTTTTTATCTTAATTGCATAATAGTATGTAATTTTCTCATATCTTTTATCTCATCTTATTTTTTTTATATGATTCAAATTTAAAATATTTTATTTTTAATAAAAAATAATCACTAAATTATTTAAATTATTAATAATTACACCCTTAAATCTTAATATTTAAACATTTTATTTAATTGGGAAATAATAAGCTTAGGCCTTAATGGGTACGGAGTTGGGCACAGCTTCAATCAAGTAGAGACCCAAAAAACCCATCAAGTGCCTAACCATTCAACAATGGTTAAAAATCCTCATTTTTGTCTCACTATTTTAACAAAAAATTTCTTTTTAATCTTTCTACTTTGAAAAATTCTGTTTTAGTCTCTTAAATAGTAAAATTTATTATTTGGCTCATTTTTTGTTCTTCTATTATTTCTTTGCAAACATGGTGTATTAAATAATGAAAATTTAAAAATAAATAAACTAAAATGGGACAAGAAAAACCTCTTCTGATCCCGCTACTTTAGAATTTTCATTATCTAATACACTACATGTATACAAAAGTAACAAAAGAACTAAAAACAACTGGATGAAAAACTTTAAAAATTAATTTTTTTAAGCAGAGTAACTAAAAAAAACTTTTTGTTAAAATAAAGACACCAAAATAGGATATTAACCTTAAATAATCCCAATGGCCAATATTAGTATTACATACATAGGGGATAGGATTTTAACCACAGCTAAAATTACAGTTGCAGCAATTTTCTGCAACTCCAAATGCACCCTCACTCTGCAATTTGCTTGAGGAGAGCATCTGTGAGTATGGAAACAATCAACTCCTACAACCACAAAACCCTGTCTTAAGTCTTTAAACTTACTTCAAATTTTTTATTAAGTCCCTAGATTTTTATTGAAGTAAATAATTCCATGAATTTGGTGATTTGAGCATTTTAACTATTTTCTTTATAATAAATTTAATACCCATTTGTACCTTACTTGTGTGAATAAACACAATACCCATCATATAAGCAATGACATGTTAACACTTTATCCATACAAGCAAGACACAAATATGTATTAAGTTTGCCATAAAAAAAAGGGTTAAATTGTGCAAATTACTAAGTTTAAAGGCTTATATATTTTAATAAAAGTTTAGGAGTTTAATTAAGAATTTCGAATAAGTTCAGGGGTTTAAGGTAGAGTTTTGCCATAACTATAACTTCTCTATTTTAGTGAGGAAATTAATGGGTATTGACCTATTAGGTAATGGGTTTCCGGACTTGGGTACGGATAACTACAAACGAGGGCCCAACAACTTACAAACGGAAACAGTACATGGACACTGATAAATGAAGGCCCAACAAACTTAGAAGAGAAGTTAGACCCAGAATTGATGCAATTTAGATATCCGACATCCGACTCAAAAAAAAAAAAAAGCTGGGGCACTTATAAAAGCCTCATTTTTCTCGCCTTAGGGTTTCTTCTCCGCCCAACAACTTAGCAGCAGCAGCAGCAGCCGCCGCAGCAGAGACACGAAGATGGTATCTCCTCTAATTCTCTATTCCTCCATTAGATTGATTTCTGCCTTTGATTTTAC